TTTCTTTAGCCTTTTTACTATAACGAACAAAACAAGCAATTTGTCGCTTTAATTACATTGTTGGTTGAATCTTTTGGTACATAATTATTTAAATTGCGTTGATAATTGAGAAGCACTCGCTCCGCGGTCAAAGCGCTGTTGCTGCGATTACAGGTTTATTATTGATTTAATTATAACCTAAAATATTTAACTTTTGTCTATAAATTACTAGCTGTTGCCTTTGTGGTAATGGTAGAGGTTGAGGCTAGAGAGAAATTGAACTAGTAATAAAGATAGAACAAAGAATAAATCGCATATAACAAGAACAACGTGAGTTATGATTGTGGAGGTACAACGGTACAGGTAGATCTAGGTGGAAAGAGATGGATGGATTGCGTGTAAGGTGACATGATCAAGAAATGAATGAAGATGACGGATGAAAGAGTTATGTTAAGGACAAAAACCTCTTACCACTAAGGAAGTAGGATAACAAAGGAAAAGTGGTCATTTCCGAACGACCTATCTGTAGAGGTCTGTATTTTTAGAAATAAGCCAAAGTTCTGTCAATGTCAAAATATGTTTCGACTTTCTTGCTATCAAAATTTTAATGAAAATCCAATTAATATTATTTACAATAATCTCATTTGTATCATGTATCAGAGATAAGCGTGTGATCACTAGATTCCTGGAGTCGAGTTATGGCGTCCAGCCCGTAGTCGTGAACGGAGACCCGGCAACTGCCGGACAAATACCATACTTCGCATCAATCAAAGAAGCATTACGTTGGTATAAGATGAACAGCGCATTATGGAAAAGCTTCTGTGGTAGTACCATTATCGCTGCCAACAAAGTATTAACCGCTGCACATTGCTTCGAAGTTAACAATTATAAATATTACCAAAACCCACATCTTCTCCGTGTAGTCGCCGGCAGTATTAGGAACTACATGATGCATTCAGGCGAAGAAGAAACAAGCAATTACAACCAATGGCGTAGAATAAAAAAAGTCATTATCCACGCATCATTTAAATTTCCAGCGAACGATATTGCTTTAGTATTCGTTAATAATTTTACTTTCACACCTTTCGTGACATATGCAACACCAGCCACAGCTGATATGGATTACGCTAGACTATGTATGGCCGCAGGGTTCGGGAAGACTGGTCATGATATGTCAAACGAAGCGTCCCACGTGTTATTAGTTGCTAAAATCGATTTATTATCTAAATGGATGTGTTCTAACCGCTGGTTATCAGATATGAGTAATTTCATTTGTTCCGATGCGCAGTCGGCAGATGTCGCTAGAGGTGATTCGGGAGGGCCTCTAGTCTGCAAAGGGACCTTGGATCCTGCGGAGAGATCGGATAGGGACCTTCTAGTGGGGATAGTCAGCGGTAAAGACGTGGATAGGACTACAATATATACCCGAGTATCTGCTTATAAAGACTGGATAGAAAGAGGCAACAGTCATCGATTGAAAACTAACATTTTTCTTATAATTACAAGTTTTCTTACACTATATGTATTATTTTTGTTTCCAAAGCCTACTTGAAAAAGATATTATAGTTAAAATATTACTTATTGGAGAAGTTAATTTCAAATACGATAAGATGAAGCAATTATCGTAGTAAAAATTTGCATAACCTTTTGCATATAATAACCTCAAACGGGACCTTTAGAGTTGCTTCATTAACTTTCCAATTAACACAAGACCTGAGGGTCTCAGAAGCTATTAAACATAAACATTTAACTCTTTCACTCTTTACTAACATTTAATGCAAGTAGTTACATATTTTAATTATTTGCTAATTTAAAAAAGTGACATGAAATAAACCATAAACATTGACAATGGGCAACTTCAAGCCTAGAGAAATAAAAGTGTAAAATATACTATAACTACGACTAAGGGCATATATGGTAAGATCACTAGCTAGTAACGCATATATCATAACGTTATAAAATAAAAACCGCCCTACAACGCGTCTGTACTCACATATAACGCGACAATTCCCTCTATGACGAAAAAGTTCCAAACAATTTATAGATTATCCCTCTGTAACGCGATTCACGGCTCTATCCTGATCAAAACCGTGCTATACGGAGGATTCCTACATCACGATTCTATAAGTCCAGAACCATTAATTCGATTGTATCTATTCTTTCGGTTTACTTTAACGATGTTTTCTTAAATTAATAATTTGGCCAGTTTTTTTAAGACTAAGAAATGAATTAAATCATTATTAAGACATTTTAACTTATCCACCACAACACTACCATAGCATTAGACTTGTTCGATATTTAAACATATCGTTTCTTTTTTGTCACAGAGAAGAAAAGAGATGGGAATAAAAGTGTACCACCAATGGAGTTCTACTCTCGCGATATGTAAATGTTTGTTCATAAAAGCAATTATTACGCCATAATTCAGCAAACACTCGCCTCTTTGTATGCGAGTCGCGTCCACTTCGCGATTATTACCGCTGAAAGATATTTATGGGATCCCTTGCTCAACTGTCCCCAGAACAAACAAGTAGACATTATTATGTGGCTTAGAAATGAATTTGTTATTCAAAAGCCACTTAAGAAACTTAAAATTTTCAACTTAATGCAAGATTTAAGATGCACATTTTATCACATATTTTTAAATTTATTTCTTGCATATTGTGCGTCAACCTTTATACCAGTAAAGGTTTTGTCGAATAAAATCTTTTCCAATGCATGTATGAATTTCATATCCGTAAATGCTTCAGTATCAAGTAACTCTGATATTGCCTTATATAGCACATACTAACATAGTCTGCATTTAACATATATTGCTATTTCTTATTGAAATATGTACTAAATAGTACTGTATATTTAGAGAACTATTTCCAATTTGTTCACTATTTAAGTATACATAATTCCTTGTATAATCATAAACATTTTTACTATGCTTTAGAGAGGTGTATAACACCTGCTTACATCCTCTAAAGAAACTGTACTGAAATTATATATACTATTATAATAAAGCGTAAACACACACTTCTTTGTTGCCTAAGATGTCAGCAATTACAGCATATTTTTTAATAATCCTTTTTTTAATAAAAAGCCCTACACTGACGTCACACTTTAGGCTATATATTTTCACGCCATTAAACTTAGGGGGTAACTTTTGGATAAAAACCCTAATGTGGGAAAGAGACCATAAGTTGCTGCCAACAACAAGAAACAAAGATTGCTAGGGTTTGTCATGTTATTTTGACATTTGCTATTGATAATTTGACAAATGTAAACATTAAAATAAAATTTTCATAATTTCATGCGGATGATACCGCACGGGAACAGCTAGTTAAAAATAAACAGCGTAGGAATCTTATTAATGTATGTAAAAGTTTAGATGGATGGATGTTTGTTAGAGTTGGTCGAAACTGCTGAATAGATCTCGATTATTTTACATAGATATAAGGATAGCCTGGAAGAACACATAGGTATGTATTTTGTTTTAGTTCCGCGTAGAGAGTCGCGGGAAATCTAATCTTTTATACAGATTTAAGTGTCATGTTTGCGTAATATTTAGGACAATATAATCCTCAGTTATCGATGACGTCATATTTGTGACGCTTCCATTAAAGTATGTTCATTCAATTACGTGATAATGTCCGCAGTTAATGGAAATGATGACAGGTTAAAAGCGTAACGCAATGCGAGTAATCCCGTCTGCACTAAGCCTTACGTGACGTAAGGTGTCATGATTGCAGAGATATTCAAGACATGTATAGACTAGACATAGTGAACATTTTTTCACCGGTAACTTCTTTGAATGGTACATTGTTAGTTGTCAAGTTTTGTAAGGTCAAAAAAAAACATTTAAATACAATAAATTATAATAACACGTGGTTTTGAGGATCTATTAATAGATAGCGTTAGTAGATTATTTGGAAAATATCTCAACTGGAATGTCAACTATGCTTCCTCTATATGTACTTTTAATCTCTTTGTATTATTGTCATCTCAAAAACATACAAGGTGAAAAGTCTGTGATTAATTTAAGTACCTAATGGTAACTTAATGAGCTGTTAAATGTAGATTTTTAAGAAAATGCCTCAATTAATGTCTAATATGTATAGAAAATAATTAACTATTTCATTAAACCTACTAGCTTTGGCCCGCGACTCCGTCTGCGTGAAATTAAGAAAAAAACAAAAGTAAGTAGCCTATGTGTTTTTCCAGACTATCATCTAATTCTATGCCAAATTTCATCTTTTTATTATTATTATTTGTTAAGCTAGCGCTTGACCACGATCCCACCTGAAGGAGGTGACAATGCAGTCGAAAGATGGTACGAGCTAGCTTAATAGGTAGCTGTTCACTCTCCTTTTGAAGGCCCCCACGTCATCTAGATCCGTTCAGCAGTACAGGCTCCGAACTCTAACAAACATCTATCCATCCATCCATCTAAACTTTCATATTTATAATATTAGTATGAAGTTTGATTACTACCACAAATATCCATATTAAATTTAAAAAAAAATACCTGAATGATAACCTCAATTTTATAATGACTAAATTTCAAACATCCATCTATCTAAACTTTAACATTTATAATATTAGTATGAGGTTTGATTCATTTTAATGTTTTTTGAAATACAAAAATATCTTAAGATTAAAACATAATCGAAATCAATCTTAAACTAATCAACATATATGAAACGTATTACAAACATCATAAACTCGTTTAATATGTTAAAAAACTATCAAATACAGGACACACCTCAATTTGTGACATATTAACATACAAACGACCAATCTCCGACATCTAATAAAAATCACAGCAGGATTCTTAAGCAAGCAGGTAATAGCCAAAAAACGTCTCTACCATCTTAATCTTTAACATTTAGGGATGTAGAGAAAAAAGGCGCCTACTTTTTATCGACAAAACGAGTATAAACACGCGTCTTCGTTTATTTTATCATATTTGTAATAGTAAAAAAAATATATATTTTAAGTTTCGTAATTCCGAAGCCGCCTTCCGCCTTCCGCCTTTGTTTGGGGTACGGAGTACCGATCTTGCGGTCGAGGGTTCGAATCCCGTCAATCGATTATCGTCGTGAACCATATCCTAGCACAAGCCTAGAGCTTAGGATGGTTAAAGGAAATATTAGTAAATTGACAAAAATCTACAAACATTATTAATTAAAAAAATATGGCAACACAATAAAAAAACTTAATTCCTGTTATTTACTAGTATCATTGAATAACTATTGTGTTTATTTTTAATTAATTTCGTCCTCGTCCAAATAATAATAATAGTAATCACGACAAAGTCGAAAACTTATAATTAGCTAAAACTTGTTAGAACTTGAGCAGTTTTTTTATGGTAAAAAGAAAATAATTTTGTGCCTGATGAGATTGCAAGCGGTATGGCTTCTAGTGGGTGAAAGTTTGTGATTTTGTAATTAATTTTTATTGTTAAATTTACAAGGAAAAAACGTTATAAGCTCGTATTTATTTCAACATCTTATATTCCTTTTTTTAAAAAAAACTTTGTGTTTCTTAAAACGATATGTTTAGACCATAATAACTAAGAGAAATGCACTATTTAATTATTGTCCAAAGTTAACATAATGCATGAAGTTAAGTAAATTAACTTAACCAGCTAACATAGTCTTCTTAAAATCTAACGGATTTTAACAAGATTATTGTAAATTTTCCATACTAAATCATAAAAAGTACCTATCAATTTTCTATACGTCATAGTTTGTCCATTAGTCCTTAAACAGTCGAAATACCTGCCAAGTCTATTTTTACTCCTTAAGAGATCGCTGCGTACGTCACATTGCTGCAGTTAAAACTTGTGATACAATAAACTTACTAATATTATAAATGCGAAAGTTTAGATGGATGGATGTTTGTTAGAGTTTGTAGCCTAAACGGCTGAACAAATCGCTATTGATTTTAGCATAGATGTAGAGGATAGTATGGAAGAACACATAGGCTACTCACTTTTGTTTTTTTTTTTTCATTCTACGCGGATAGTGTCGCGAGCGAAAGCTAGTAAACTTATAAATTAAATAAAACAATCGATAAGTTAACTCCGATATCTTTGTCTTCATTTAGACAAAATTTAATAATGAGAAAGATGAAAAGACGGAAAATACAAAGTAAGGAATGACGATACTAGTGTTTTACCATAAATGACATTATAAAATGTTTGCTTTAATGAGTTTTTATACCTAAAATTTAAATAAAACCGTATTTACGGAAACTGAAACCTCAGTGTGCCACAGGCTTAGCGCGGGTTACGTTGGGGTTCGTTTGTTTTCATCAAATGCGATTTGTTTCGGCCGGAATCTTCCGCGACTCGCGCTACCATGAATACTTGATGCACATTCTATCGAACGGAATTGTTGCTATGCCAACTCTTACTCTAAGAAATTAAATATTAATCATAATGACTATGAAATCATAGAGAGAGAGGGAGAGATAGTGAGAGAGAGAGTGGGAGAGAGAGAGAGAGAGAGAGAGAGAGACTGGTAAGTTAGACCTAGAAAGAGGAGAGTCATACGGGAGTAG